CGTATTCTGCAGGCCGGGGGGCACTGAGCCTCCAAGTGGATCTTGTGCCTTTTTTTGGGCTTCGAGGCAAAAGGTGAGACACGCTGTACTCCCTTGCTTGTTAATATAAACATCAGGGTTGTATTTTCTGTGCACACCAACATGTAGAGAACCTCCATCTGAAGGTAGAATACCAGGCAGGCCAGTCTGACTGCCCTTAGCTCCTTCAGATTGATGTCAACAGCCACGTCCATAGAGGACCATAAACCCTGGGTCCTTAGGTTCCCCAAGTGGGAGCCCCACTCCAGGCCCGAGGCATCTATTACAAGTGTTAAGGTAGGCACCGCTTCTGGGGCCAGAGTTGATGGCAAGTCCTAGGCCTCACACATGGGGGTTTGCCTGCGCTGTGCCGGGTCTTGCCACGGTCATGTCTTGTGGGGTGATCTGCCTCTGCTCTCTTGAAGTCTATGCAGTGTCAGCGAAGTCAATCAGAGCCAGTGGGCTATGGCACCAAGAGTCTTAAGCAGCACCTGCTTTTGGTGTGGTCTCGCACACAGAGGCCAGGGCACTCTGCATCAGGCTTGCACCTGGTTCCATCTTCTCTGTCTGGGGAGGTCTCAATGCTGCCTCCATGAGAAGCTGCTGGAGTTGGTACTACTGGTCTTTTCTTGTACAGGGCTTAAAACCAATAAAGATTTCACACTTTTCAGTGTGATGTTCTTCACCTAAGCAACAGAGACATGTACCATGTGGATAGTTGTTGGGCACAGGCTGTTTCTACTTGGTGCACGACGTAAACCCTAGGACATTAGGCATGCCCCAGAGCCCAGAGGGGCTAACTCTCTGTGGGCAACTGCCCACCTCCTATGAATTCTTTAAAGAAAAATACCATTAGGAAGAAAAAATGAAAATCAACAATCAACTGCTAGGGACTAGAGGCTTGAAAGTTCTAATGCCGCAACAGATAAGAAGGAACTGAGGGAGGGGTTGGGTCAGCAGTGGTATATGTGCCCTGATATGGCAGTGCTATTCTAGGGGTCTCCACAGCCAACCCAATGGGAGTTGCTAGGGGGAAAAAGTTTCTGATGCTCATGCACATGGTGTGCATACACCTGATTGGAATCGCCATGAACAAGCACTCAAAGAAGAAATATTAAAACCCAGACTCAATCACAAACACCCATGTTCACTCATTCTCCTATTATATAAAGTGAATATATTTAATTTCTTTTTAT